TCGATGAAACCACAGTCCGCGCTCGGCCGCCGTCGTGAGTGGACACTGTATCGCCTGTTTGCAGCGGCTCATTCTGAAAAGATCGCTGTACATACACAAAATATTAGAAAAAAACAAATTGGAAACATAGGTACTTGACAAGTGATAAAATTATTATTTTTATACTCACAGTTTTTATTTAGCTAAAAATAAGTAGGATATATAAACTTACCTACTACTGCAACTCGTGGACGAGCGGAACTAGGTGTGCCGAGTTTGGGCTCGTTTTGTTGGTTATGATGAGACCTTACCTCTGGACTTGATGGCATGACCTGAAGGTGTACTTTCGTGACCGCTATTTGAACTTCTTGCAGAGTAAAACTAGGGGTGACGAATTTGGGCTCCGTTTTGTTAGTTATGACGAGTCTATACCTCTGGACTTGATGGAGTGACCTGAAGGTCTAAATCGGTGATTGCAACTGGAACTCCTAGACTGGTAGAACTAGGTGTGCCGAGTTTGGGTTCGTTTTGTTAGTTACGATGAGACCTTACCACCGGACTTGATAGAGTGACCTGAAGGGGTAATTCAGTAACTACTGCTGGAATTTCTGAACGAGTAGAACTAGGTGTGCCGAATTTGGGCTTCGTTTTGTTAGTTATGACGAGTCCATACCTCCGGACTTGATGGAGTGACCTGAAGGTGTAGTTCAGTGATTACAAGTGGAACTCCTAGACTTGTAGAACTAGGTGTGCCGAGTTTGGGTTCGTTTTGTTAGTTACGATGAGACCTTACCACCGGACTTGATAGAGTGACCTGAAGGGGTAATTCAGTAACTACTGCTGGAATTTCTGAACGAGTAGAACTAGGTGTGCCGAATTTGGGCTTCGTTTTGTTAGTTATGACGAGTCCATACCTCCGGACTTGATGGGTGACCTGAAGGTGTAGTTCAGTGATTACAAGTGGAACTCCTAGACTTGTAGAACTAGGTGTGCCGAGTTTGGGTTCGTTTTGTTAGTTACGATGAGACCTTACCACCGGACTTGATTGAGTGACCTGAAGGTGTAATCAGGTGGTTACAAATGGAATTCCTAGACTAGTAGAACTAGGTGTGACGAGTTTGGTTTCGTTTTGTTAGTTACGATAAGACCTTACCACCGGACTTGATGGAGTGAAATTCGGCACACCTAGTTCTACTGGTTCAGAAATTCCAGCAGTAGTTACTGAATTACCCCTTCAGGTCACTCCATCAAGTCTGGTGGTAAGGTCTCATCATAACTAACAAAACGAACCCAAACTCGGCACACCTAGTCCTACAAGTCTAGAAGTTCCACTTGTAATCACCGAACTATACCTTCAGGTCACTCCATCATGTCCGGTGGTAAGGTCTCATCATAACCTACAAAACGAACCCAAACTCGGCACACCTAGTTCCACCAGTCTAGGAGTTCCAGTTGCAATCAACGATTTACACCTTCAGGTCACTCCATCAAGTCCGGAGGTATGGTCTCGTCATAACAAACAAAACGGAGCCCAAATTCGGCACACCTAGTTCTACTCGTTCAGAAATTCCAGCAGTAGTTACTGAATTACCCCCTTCAGGTCACTCCATCAAGTCTGGTGGTAAGGTCTCATCATAACTAACAAAACGAACCCAAACTCGGCACACCTAGTTCTACTAGTCTAGGATTTCCACTTGTAATCACCGAATTACACCTTCAGGTCACTCCATCAAGTCCGGTGGTAAGGTCTCATCATAACCAACAAAACGAACCCAAACTCGGCACACCTAGTTCCACTAGTCTAGGAGTTCCTATTGTTGTAATCACCAAATTACACCTTCAGGTCACTCCATCAAGTCCGCAGGTAGGTAAGGTCTTATTATAACTGACAAAACCAGTTCAAAGTCCAGAGCTAACATCTCACTACCAGTAGAGGGCTTCCAGTGCCAAGCAGTCTTTGGAGCAGGTATTCATATTTCGTATCGAAGTATATTTCTGAGGTAGGTATAAGAAATGAAAAACAAATTCAATCTTTCAAATTATCAAAATAATTTCATTTGACTACGATTCCCACAGCCAACCGTGCGTACACTAGTGTGTGTGTGACTTTTGTCAATGTAGTAGTGCGATTCTATACCTATCCATTTTGTAAACGCGTCCTTAAGTGAGGCAAAAACAAAATCTATGTGTGCGTAAGCCACTTGTGTTTACGCTAGACGAAACGCACTCAAGTGAAAAAATAATTTTGCCAATACATTAAATTTTCCCCAAAAAGTAGGGAAGTTGAAACTATATTGGACTAATAGTTACGACGTAACGTATGACTGATACAAATGTGAAAATAAGTTTTTTGAATTCTGTTATCGAAGTGTAGCCCGCCAAATTCAAAATATTCTTGAATAGCGCATTTGCCTATCTAGCCAAGTGAGATTTTTATGAGCCATCGAAATGTGATTGCATCATATTTTTCTTTGTTACTGTATAGGTTATAATAAATGTATACGTTATAATTATATGACTAATACAAGTTCGATATACACACCCGCCCCATACCCGACACATGACTGTTCGACGAACGATTGATCGAATTCAGTATATATTTTTCAGTTTGTTTTTAACTATTTTTTTAAATAATTGTTGAGTAATGGTGTACCGCACCTCACTGCATGCATGATGTAAGCTACATTACGAAAAACACAAGATCATTTTAATTTTGGCAGGTTTCACACAGTAGATGCATTTCAGCTTAAAGTGATTGGGAAAAATTTATTAGAAAAACACAAATAAAAATTAAAATCATTTATTTCAGTAGCCTTGTAACTGCAACTGTTTCCTGAATAACTGACGCTTTGATGATACGAATCGTAAAGTATTTTCTTTTATGGATTCATAGAACAGTCTAATTCTTAAGAATTAGACTGTTCTATGATAGCTACTTAAGTAGCGCTCGACAATAAGTCTCATCAAATTCGTGTCATGGAAGTGGGAGTTAACGTGTTCTATAGAAAATATACGAGTTCCTCCTATGAATCTTCTCATAATTAGAAGTGTGATTTCTTTTTCGGAAATATTGCCTGGATTTTCTTTTAGATAACGTCTCAGAACAGTTTCAATAACACTACAAATAGAATAAACTTCTTTTGAGGCGTAAACCAATCCACCTTTATCCCTCATACATACTAATTTATGGAACCAAAGTTTCTCTTTTGCAAGCATGTTATCAATGCAATATTTACATTTTACTCGGGTTGTGAGATGTCTAGCTACATTTCCAGCTATATAGCCAACAATGTGGTTTCTGCAGTTAGGATCATCGCTACCCGATGAAATTTCGAATCCGACATCATTTGGAATCGGTGTTTTCAATAAGTGTTCAGTTAATTCTTTTTCTTCATCATTAAATCTTTCGGAAAATGAAGTATTATTGATGCAAGTTAAAGCAGATGAACATGTTAAAATAGGTATGTTTTCGAGTGGCACGCAGTTACCAGTTTCACTTACTTGCAGTTCCATGCGGCAGAGCAGTTTTCTGTAGCTACCCTTAAATTGTAGAGCGTTTGGATTGTCATTATGTCCGCTTTGCATTCTTATCAATCCAAAAAGTAGCTCGATATGGTCCTGGCTCAACCTGTAGGTTGTAATATACTCCAGTTCTTTTGTATCTTCAACTAAGGTATTATATAAGTACTTAAGGCTCTCTATGCAAACTAACAATCCTTTAAAGCCAGGAGAGCACTTTACAGTAAGGGCCGATTGGAAGCTTTTGATTTTGAGATTTATTGAACTCTCTTTTTCATTGTATTTGCGCTTTCTAGTAGTTTTAATCTTTAAGTGAAGTATATATTTTTTTGGTTTTCTCTAAAAAATCAAATATTTCCTTTTTATTAGAATTTGAAAGGGGATGGCAAAAACCATGTTATGTTAACCTTCTCGTATTAAAAATGTCGAACAGGTCGTTGAAAATCATGATAAAATTTTCTGTGCCCTTACTATTCTTGAAATCGTCCAATTTCAAGACTTCGCGGCAAAATTTCAGTGCCACTGCTACATTTCTGCTAAGTAGTTGAACTGCTAACTTTATTTTCATAATAGAGTTTCTAAACTCGAGATGTTTACGCGTTAGTTTATTAGCAATGTGTAAACCTTCTTTTTCTTGAAAGTCATTTAATTTTGTTAAAAATTCCCAGTCCACTTTATTTTCATCTTGGTCTAAGAATACTTTTTTGTCTTCGAAATGATTCCGAACCAGTTTGATCATATGACTGGAATCTAAAAACACCGCTACCTCGTTATTAGCTGCTGGGTGTTTGAATGTAGTTTTCATATTCTCTACGTCCTTTAGTCGGCATCCACTTTTACGCCTACCTCTTCACATTTAGTCAGGCATATTTTTATCAGGTTAGCTTTTTGCCCCCCGGTAAGACCATGCACCAAAAAATATCCCAATGGGATCTTCCAGTGTTCATTCAAGCACACAAGAATAAAAGTATAAGCTTCCGTAGCCTTTGTTGTACAATCGGATGTACCTGTGCCAATGTCTACACGCCTGTGGCCTCCTTTTATATTTTGTGGTCGTATTGCCATTTCATCTGCCACTAAAGCACATATTAATTTCTTCTGTGTACATTGTAATACTTTCGATTTCAAAATATGAAATGCTTCATCTGTAAAACCAGGGGAACCATTTATGGTTTTATACCAGTTGTAAATAGTTTTCGGATGTGGGAGGCAAGTATTAAATGTTTTACGAACATAGATGTAAGCTCGTGGTGAGTAAAAATGCAAGGTTAGACAGAATTTCCTAAATTCTGGAGTGTATTTAGGCATCGGTCGTTTTTTATCTTTACATATTTTTTTTAGCTAAGCTACTGTATAAATCTGCTGCAAATACATTTTCCGACAAAATATTGGATATGTCATTATTAATATATCTTTTCTTCCGTAATTCTACTAAAATATTTTTAAGAGTGGCATTTCTTTTCTTTAAGCGTCGATTTTTTTGCTTCAGAGTCTTAATCTTTCTACTGTGTTTTTGTTGCAAAAAGATCTTTTTTCTTAGTTGTCTCCGTAGTGAAGCCTTTTTTAGGTGAATCGAAAATAGAATCTAGTTCTGAAGATAAAGGTGTCATTGAATCGCTTAGATTAACATTTTTGTCCATCTCACAACCTGAGGCTTCCTGAAAAACATTTATACAAATAAATAAAGTAGTAAGTACGTATCTGCCCCACATACTGATTTACTGGTAGAGAATGCCATAAGGCATAAAGTCCACTGTTTATGCATCTTATTCGTGCAATAAAGGAAATATAAATAAAAATAAGCCAATAGCTACTCGTCAATAGACATAATAATTTACTGTTAGTTTAGTTCCTATATTATTATTATTTTACTACACAAAAGGTGGACTTAACGCTTATTGGCATTCCCTACCATTCATTTTATTTACATTATGTGACTATGATGATGACTATGACTTAATAAAATACTGCACTAGAAAAAATCGACTGGTATCGAGTGGGACTCGAACCCACGATCTTTCACTAACCGGGCGACTGCTCTTCTTTTTCTCTTGTCGTGGATTCGAGTTCTGCTCGATACCAGTCGATTTTTCTACTGCAGTATTTTCTTTTGAAAATAATGGCATTGTGAATGCTTAAAACCACAAATTAATTATGTGACTTGGCTTTGTGTTGATTTATTAAAAACTTACCGGCTGAGGTTGATTTTGCTCTTGACTTAAATCATCACTCTTCTCTTCCGTGCTAAAAACGGGTAGATCCTAGAACACAAAAATTAAACGTAAGAAAAAAAATTAAAAAGCAATCCATATTAAAACAGTTTATAGGTATAGAGCGGAATTTTTTATACCTTAGTTGAAACTGCACCCTTGCGTAATCTACATAGGCCACATTTAGTAATATACTTTACTTCATCCTCAAAATGTAAAGAACAAATTTTTGTATTTTTAGTGGGCTTCCAACTGCTATCATTTCGATTGCGTCTGATTTTTTCTGTCCAACGATCTGCAATGATCGGATCAGAAGGAAACCTAAAACGAAAATGAAACATTCATTTATTATCAGACCATATAATAAATTTCCTTAAAATTTATCATCGATACTTTTTAAATAAAAACAATGCGTTGTATTTTATTCAAATTTATTGACGTATTTTACTTTTAATTAAACGACAAAATGTGGGAGAATTTTTTTCACACTTTGGCAACATTTCCATATAATATCATGTGTGAATTTTTAAAAATTCATATTTATTTTTGATGAATATTTTACGTAAAAATATAAGTTCAAAAGCACTACTTACACGTGAAATGTAATGTCACTATGTTTATTGTGTTTCTCTGATGTATTGTGACATCCGTTCACTGCACAAACCGTCATTTTAATTAAAATTATGAGAGCTGTTGTCAACACCATACGACACTGAGCACTAACGGGCCGAGTATTGAACTGAGCCATACTGGCTTAGTTTAAGTTGCCTCACATTACGGACGCGGACTCGGCTTCTAGGTGTTATTATTAGCTATGTCGCAACCTTGATTTTAACCAATTAGCGTGCATTTCAACCCGCCTCCCCCGTACCGCTTACCTCAGACTGACAGAAAAGTTTGGATGCAGAAGTACATACATTAGGCGTCTATTCGGGCTGTGTAGTCGTTGTGCCTATACAACATTCCATTAAAAACACACACATACACATAACCTGTGATGTAACTTTTCCTTCATACTTTCATCCTGGCTTAGGACAGACAAAAATTCCTACCCTTTGGGTTTTTTTTGAAAAATTGAGATTTTACTAAAGAAAATGTTTCATTGAATTTACGTTCTATAAGTGAAACCAAACCATTGGTATCAAGGATAACGGTGTTTACACTAACATCCTGTATAAAACGCTTCTACGAAACAGTTTATATAAAAAAGAAGAAAGGGTGTTAAATGTCAATTTACGTCGGTATTACTAGAGCCAATCTGTCTGCCAAGCGTGGCAATTATGGCAAATCCCCACAACAGGAGTTGTCCCATATCTAGGCATTGGTTTTTGTGAACTAAAATAATAATAATTGAAGAACAGTTTCACAACTTATTATATCTTTAAAATCAAAAACAATCGGCTCAGTATGTACTAAAATTAATCGGCTAGGTGATATCAAAACGTTTCCGATGATTGAAATAATCATAACATAGAAGCTTACTATAATAAACACCATTATCCATTCGTTTTTAATTATGTAAAGGCGATACTCATCTCGCGTGTTAGCCACCTGTAAACTCGAATACGTCATTACGAGAAACATAGCCGCCATTTATATTGACAGCTGTGAATCATACTGCTATTACAAAATAATTCTGCATATTAATTACTCCGCACAATTGGAAAAAGAATAGAAAATGAAAATTAGAATTTCTGCTTAAAGTGATATTTTGCATCTAGAAATCCGTTTGAAAATGTACTACAATCCTTCTTAATTACTTTGTGTAAATAAGTAAAGTATAAGAAAACTTTCAAGAAATCTATTTTCATCTTAAATTGTAGGTGTTTGATTTTCATTTTTGGGTAGGCATGCTGGTAATAGTAATGTAGAGCGTCTGGGGTTTTTTTTTTTGGGTTTTTTGGGGTTGTTTTTTCCCTTTCTAAAATTCGCCTAACATTTCGACTTAGGTTGTACCACTTGTCTCACCTATGACAGCCACTTTGAAGCTGTGACTTTTTACAGGTTTATCTATACATATACTACAAAAATAATAAAGAATTAAGTAATAAATATTTATAAAAAAATATGTAAATCCTTCGATCAATTATATACTTTTTATACTTAACTTTTTATTATACTTTATTGATCGAAGTGTAAATTCTAATATCTTAGTTAAAAAAAAAAGTATAACAGTTAACCAATGTCATCAATAGACGTTGTTGTGCAAATTATTTATTCAATTTTAAGATGTGCTTATAATTTCTTTCTTAACCGCCGAGTACCTACAACATGGTAAATCAAAGTTTGAAAAAAATTTTTTTGGTTTTGTCAAGGATCATATCAATCATATTATAGAAGCTTGGCAGTAAACATATTATACTTTCCTTTTGCACTTCCACAACTTTTAAAATTTACACTGTCGTGAAATTGAAAAAACTGCTTGAAGTAGAAATCTAAAATTTGTACTGTTGGTTTTTATCACCTTTTATGACACAGAAATCCGCTATGAAATCATTTTGGAAAATTCGATCCCTGAGAGTGTTAAATAAGGGTGTTACAGTTTATTATTTTGTTAGAAAAATATTTTACATGACGTTTGCCTCGATACTTACTGAGAGTACTGTATTAAAAAATATATAAATACGTATTTTGCGATTTCAAAGTAACCCGTTACGGTAGAGGGTATGTAATTTTGTATAGACATAAAATATTTTGGTATTTCTTAAAACAACCTCTTACCGGGGGAGGTAGAAGGGGGCCTTTTACGGTTTTAACAAGGGTTCAAATTTTGTATGAAATATATTGTATTAAATCTACAGTTCAAATCGCTGTATGTAGATGCGTGAAAATGGAGCAATAACTTTCTTTTATTAAGTAGACATCCACTAAGAAAGCAAGAAGTCTTGAAAAATGTAAATCCTTAGATACTAAAATAAGGTTTAAAGGATATTTTTAAGGGGTGATTTCATATTGGTATAGGGAATGTAACTTTAAAATTAGTACGAACATTTTAGGATTAAAGTAGTGCAATTAGTTTTCTTTCCAAGATAATGGTTTGCGCGGAAAAATGTTTTTCAATGGCATGGTGGTGGGGAAATCCGTAAAACGAAATTATGATAATTATGAATAATACTTATTATAGAACTTGCCCCTATTGATCATTATATACAAAATTATATATTTATCATTGTGTTCGAGTTAGTAATCCGACAAAAATATAGTGAGATCAGATACAGATAAAACGGCTTTACGTGCTTTCTGAGGCATATGGAATAAATCACTGCTAAACTCTTGACTCCAGCTGCTACTGAGAATTTCTTGATAGAAAATCCAACTGATGTTAAGCCCGATGACACCTATTACTTAAAGGTCAAAAAACTTTCCTAGGTTTGAGTTTAGTTTTATTTATTTGCAGGATGAGACAAAATATACACACTTACGCAATTTCATTATTTTGTTAGCATAGGTACTTAGTTTTAAGTAGGCACTGGATTGTAGTTCTCATTTCAATTTTTTATTTCATTATCAATAATTAGTGATGGTGCTTGCTTATTTAGGACAATATCTTATTTGTTGTAAGGAAACCAAGTATTAGAAAGAGTACCAGAGAAATTCGGGAGCAAATTAGGGATTACGTTATTGCGGTCATTTTGTTATTTACTATTTACAAAATAAAACACAAACGTACAGTTTGCACTACTTATTTGTTTCTTGGTTAGTTTGTAGGTCCGTTCATTTGTCTGATCGACGACTAACTGAATGTTTTTATTCTTATTAGCTAGTGTCTTTTTGTCTTCGCGACAGTTTAATTTACAAATAAATCATCATCACATAGAATAGCAAAGGTACTGATTCAACACGAACGAAGTCGCGGGCATAGCTAGATAAAAATAAATTTATATTACGGTTGAAGACTAAATATAAATATATTTTTTATAGAAGTTAATGTGACAAGCGAGCACTCAGTCCACGTGTGGCCGCCAGCCCAATTCAATCCTCGATTAAGAATTAAAATGCAGCTAAAAAGAGAAAGAGAAATAAAGAGAGAGAGAGAGAGAAAGAGAGTGAACATTTTCTTTTCATATTTATGTTTCCTTTTTATTTCCAGCCAGTTTTACATTCGAAGTGGTTCAATGACTTTAACTTATCACGCAAGGTTCTAATATTCATAGAGGTTATTTCTCCTAAGTAGTTTAAACGATTCCATCGAAGATTCGATCGCACTATTTAAAGAAAAAATGTATTTGTTTCCTTCACCCTGTAGTAAAGAATTTAGAAATATTAGATTATTTAAAACAGAGAATATTAGTTTTAAAAATAAAATAGAAATTTATACATCAGCTACAAATAAATAGCAACCACAATGACTAGGTAATTTATGTCGCACTAACATAAGACCTAGATAGTGATTTAGAATAAATAAACATGACCTACTTCGTCTATATCTTTCATCATCATCATCATCACAACCCATAACAAATTCACGGCTGAGCATAGGCCTTTCGCAAAGAATGCCATCAAGCACGGTCCTAAGCCAAATGCATCAATGAACTTCCTACATGTGTTATCAGGTCGTTATCGTCTAGTGGGGGTTCTGCTCTACACTTCGATTACAGTACGAGGCTGCCGCTCAAGAACCTTTCTTGCCTATCAGTTGTCAGTTCTTCGAGCTATATGGCTAACCCATTAGATAGATTACTTGTTTCGGAAAGCTGGTTAAAACCTACCTTACCGTCCACCTCCTTTGGAATACCTGGTTTTGTCCTCTTAAGAAATGATCGTATGGGCAAAGGAGGTGGGGGTGTAGCGGTGTACTTACGTAATGGTATACCCTATAAACAATTATGTGCTTCTTCTTCTGTTTATTCTGGTACAATAGAATACATGTTCTTGGAGATTACCATCAGTGGGACTAAGACTGTTCTGGGTGCAAT